TAAACAGTTTTCAAGAAAATCGCGATTGAAAATGTCAAAAAATAATTTCTATTTTAGTTTTGACAGCAAACAATGGATAGATATAGATTTGACTCATTTTAGAAGCACTAAAGGGTCCCACCACAAAAATATCAGTTCCGGTTCAATCGAAGGTTTTCGGTCGGTCTACTTTTGAGGTTATGTTACTGCAATAATTTCAATGGTATACCATACTTAGAACTAAAAATTCGTATTCTTAGAACAATTTTGAATATTTTTTGTGTACGCTTTCCTATACCTAAAGTCTACTGTTTTTGAGATATTTGACACTTGATGTAAGGGTGTCTTCGGAACAACGAATACCAAAAACAGTATAGCATTAATTTTAATCCTTTTTATAAATTTATTCAGATAGACAGCTGCAATCACACAGAATGCAGGTTAAAAGATAAGTCTCATTTGTTGTGTTCCTTGAATCCCGATTTGCACTGTTACATTACAAATACAATAAACAAAACCGCACGATTCGTGTGCAATTTGCTTCCTACATATCCCGCAATAACCAGATGAAAATCAGCTACACAGGCAAATTATTTTAAATAACAAATTGAAAATAAAGCAATACTTGTGTACAGGATGTTTCAAATTTGAGCCACAACATTGAGATCTCGGAAACGGTGAGAGATACAGCCGGCGGATTCCTTCGTTGTTCCGAAGACATCCTTACATCAAGTGTAAAATATCTCAAAAACAGTAGACTTTAGGTATAGGAAAGCGTATACGAAAAAGATTCAAAATTCTTCCTAGAATACGAATTTTCAGTTCAAAGTATGGAATACCATTGAAATTATTGCAGTAACATAACCTCAAAAGTAGACCGAACGAAAACCTTCGATTGAACCGGAACTGATATTTTTGTGGTGGGACCCTTTAGTGCTTCTAAAATGAGTCAAAAATATCGTAAAAGTTACAACCTACTATCCATTGTTTGCTGTCAAAACTAAAATAGAAATTATTTTTTGACATTTTCAATCGCGATTTTCTTGAAAACTGTTTAAGTTAGGTATAGGATATTATACATAAAATATGCTTAGAATTTCTCATAGAATCCAAAAATGTAATAATATAGGGGGTGATCTAGTTGAAATAAAGAAGTTGATGGCACTTGCGGTCAAACCAAAAGCGATAGTCGATTGTTTTTATAGCGAAATTCTGCATCGATATCAATAATATACATCCTCAAAACTTGAAATCGATATTGATATTCATGCCTGAACTAGAGCTTGGTCAGTAATCTCGTGGTCACCCGGTATATAAGGGTTTAGCAGACTTTTTTGCCTCACCTTTAAAACATATTTTTAATCTTGCCATAAAAAATAATCAGTTTCCAGAAGCACTGAAAACTGCACAAATAACACCAATTTTTAAGAGTGGCAGTAGAAACGAAATTAAAAATTATAGGCCAATTAGCCTAATTAATGTTTTAGCAAAAATTTTTGAGACCATTTTATTTGATGACTTTTACAGTTTCTTAAAACCCAAAATTTCAAACTTTCAACATGGATTTGTGAAAGATAAATCAACTGTGACAAATTTGTCAATTATATCAGAAGCTGCAGCTGAAGCTATCTTAAATAAAGACCAGTTAGATGCTGTTTATACAGACTGCGAGAAAGCGTTCGACAAAGTAGATCATGAACTGTTGCATTATAAACTTGTTGATTTGGGTGTAACAGAGGAAATTTACCATTTTTTAAAGTCATATCTCTCGAACAGAGTACAGTGTGTCAGAATTGGAATCTGCGAGTCAGAACCCTTCATTGCCACCTCAGGCGTGCCACAGGGAAGCAATTTGGGACCTTTACTTTTTTTGTGTTTCATTAATTCATTGCCAGAGTGTCTCTCAAACTCCACAGGATTACTTTTTGCTGATGGCTTCAAACTTTATAGAGTTATAAAAACGAGAAGAGACTGCGATTTGCTCCAGCTTGATATTGATAGAGTAATTAAATGGTTTTCTGATAACAAAATGTTCCTCAATATAAAAAAATGTTCAGTTCTAATATTTACTAGGAAGATCAATCCTATTTCTCATAACTACAAAGTTTTTGATGTCATAATGAAGCGTGAAAGTGAAGTGAAGGATTTGGGAGTTTTCTTTCAATCAAATTTAAAATTTAATAGTCATTTTTGTCACATGAAAAATAAATCCGTCAAGGCTCTGGGTTTCTTGATAAGAAATACAAAGGAATTTGGTATCTCCACAATAATCAGGTTGTATAATGCTCTGGTGAGGCCACATTTAGAATATGCGTCACAAATTTGGATGCCATTGGAGGCCACACATATTGATTGTATTGAGAAGGTTCAAAAAAGGTTCTTGCGTTACCTTTATGTTTTAAAAAACAACACATATCCCTTAAAAGTTTCGTATAAATAAATCTATGTTGGATAGTTTCAATTTCAGATCTCTTTTACAAAGAAGACGACAACAAGCTGTGATATATCTTTACTATATTTTAAATAACATAAAGTACAAAGACTGTAACTTAATTAATTATATAAATTTTACTGTACCAAAGATTAATTTAAGAATACCAAATAATCAAAAAGTATTTAGTGCAGATCCCAATAGTATATCTCCTTTTAATAAAATAATGTTTATAACAAATGAGATTCTCAGTGAGGTCCCAACAGACTTGTTTAATACTAGTCTCAAAAATTTGAAGGCTGTGATATGAATTTGCTCTTGTTTTCTTTGTAGGCTTAGGTTGTTAGTTTGTTTGTAGTAGTAAGTAACTTTACATGTAATTACCATCTATGGTGTTTGTAAAGAATCCAATAAATAAATAAATAAATAAATTGCAGTAAAAGTTGTTTAGTATATCGGGTTTGATATCGATTTCCTGTGGCTTTGTGCTACTTTTTCCTGTAACTTCTCTGACAATGCTCCAAGTTTCCTTGGACTTATTTGTGGCCTTGGTTAGACGATTAGAATAAAAAGACTGCTTTGCCTGATGAATCAATTTTCTGTATTGTTTTCGGTATTGGGAATAATAATGTTGAATAAAAAGAGTATTAGGGTAGTGTTTTCTTACAACATTAAGAGACCTTAAGTTAGCTGGAGATATTTTGATGCCCTTTGTCAACCAGTGCTTTTTATACCTTTTTTTACGAAGGGCCCTTAGAGGAAAAGATTCACTTATTAAGTTATTTACAACGAGATGAAATTCTTCAAGGGGATTTCCCTTAGAAAGAATGGGTTGCCAAAGTGTCCTTTTTTTCTTTCACCTTTCACCCAACCGGAGATTAAAATTAACTGAAATTTTACATCATGGATTAAATTCCAAGTTGGTGTCAAATGATAGTTTATGGAAAATCATATCAAGCCTGTATTATGGGTTTTGCTCTAAAATTAACCATTTAGGTTTCACAGCCTGTTAAAGTAACTCATCTAAAAAACGGCAAAAATCAAAAATCGATGTGTCCGAGGTTTTTTGAACTATATTCCACCCTGTATATTTTTTGGATTTTATTCCAACCTTTCATGCTCACTGTATAACATTACAAGGGCGTTTATGAACATGATTAAAATAATGACTTTGAAAGATTAGGACAAGGAGGTCTTAGACCGAGTCGTTGTAATCACACGAGCACAGAACCATACGAGTTTTGAAGTCATGTTTAAACGCATATGTAAATGTAGGCACAAAGTTTTATCTAACAAGCGAAAAATAAGATTTTTTTTTTAAAATTTTTGTGTAAAGGCTGAGTTCGGCTTTGCACTCCACGGAGCGGAATGGTATAAGCATGGATATCATGACGTCATACGCGATCATAAGCCCAACGTAAAAAAAAAAAACAAACAAAGTCACATAACCTATAAATAGCATTGTCGTTAATAATTTTTTCTCAATTTTGGGCTTAAATTTAATAATGATGGCAGTTTTGGGAGAAAGTGATTTGTTTTATCGAGAGGCGATGAAGCGATGTGTGTTTGGTGATTGTAAAAGGGATAGTCGAACGAGTTCCATTAAATTAACGACCCCATTTGCCTCTACTGGAGTTTTAGGTAACACAGCACCTGTCACATCACTTTCTGTTAATTTTATCAAACGTTTTGCAACCAAAGAAGCCATAACGAATGCACCGAATACTTACGAAAGCGTAGATTTGACAAGATGCTGTGTTACCTTAAACTCCAGTGGAGGCAAATGGGGTCGTTAATTTAATGGAACTCGTTCGACTAATATTTTACAATCACCAAACACACATCGCTTCATCGCCTCTCGATAAATCATATCACCATAGCATATCACATTTTCCAAAAACTGCCATTGAAAACATTGACAATGCTATTTATAGGTTATGTGACTTTGTTTGTCGACTTTCTGCTAAAGTTATTCATCATGAAATCTTCTATACAATGTAAAATTGTCAATGCTTTCAAATTTTTTATGTAGAAAAGGCTTGTGTTGCCAACATAGTTACTAAATTTTTGGGAATTATCTTTAAAAAAAAGACTGAAAAGAAGAGGATCTTATCATTTTGAGCAGGCTCAGAGTTTACAGAATGTAAAGCCGATCAGCCTTAGATGTCTTTGTTACATGCCCTAGATAGTCTGGACACGCCAGACCTCGCGCCAGACTATGGTTAAAGACGCTATACTTAATTAGTAGGCATATAGGAATTTGCAATAAAAATTAATATTTGTTATTATATTTATGATGGATATTTGTAGTTGTTTTCCACTATTACAAAAACTAACTAAAAGATTGTATATGAGAAAAAACAAACTGTTTCCTCTCAATTTTCATTAATTTTTCCCGGAGCTTTTTCCTCGTAGACAGAGGCACAGGGAAAAATTTAATAATCCTTCATTATAATAATAATCTCGATAATAATAATTCAAATACCAAGCAGCAAGCAGTAACCTAAATACTTTATACAGTTAGTTTTACCATAAAGAAAGTGTAGGAGAGCTAAAAATAGGTTTGTTTATTTATTCTGGGCATAACTACCTTCCAAATTGAATGTTATTATAACCTGCAATACGTTTGTGGGTATTGAGTGTGAAGGTCTAACAATTCTCACTGTCCAGGTTGTTGTGAAATCCTAAAAGCCTCCTAACCATCACTAAATTACCACTAATTTTTATTTTGAAACGGATTCCATGTCTCATAAATTTTTATTTTTATCAACATCAACAATGGAATGGAATGGAAATGGTACTATTGGATTATGGGGGGGATGGGGAATTGGAATGGTCGAATGACATTGCAAATGATTGACTGGTGACATTATTGACAACTGGAAATTTTTCCATCAATAGTTGTATTCCTTTCACACCTATGAGGAGCTCCGGAACAGCTCCGGGGCTTCACGCCCTTATTCCTTTCGAAAAGTGTTTGTTGCATCACGCATCTGTTCCCTGTAAATCGGGGGCTACTAAACACCGGAGCGAGTAGCTCGAGTGTTTCAAACTCTTGAAAGGAATACAACTATAGGGCGTTCGAAGACGACATGCGATAAATACTAGTTGAGTTCGGCTTGGCAGTTCTTTCGACTCCTTTGACCCTTTTCACTGCAAAGTCGTTCGGGTCACGTCACTGGGAGCAAATAGTGCAAGCTCCTCATCGTTCGGGTACAGCCAAGTAGAGTGAAAAGAGTTAACTCCACAAGCACCACCTCGAGAGATGAAGCTCGAGGAGCAGGCAGGCGTACTTCCACAGCGTACTTCCTATTTCCAAAAGGCGGTAAAATTTAAGCTTTTGATAATTCACTATCCTAACGATAATAACCTAAAGAGTTCAAAGAAGATATTTTTTGCTTAGGGCTTGGTTGCCTCCTGGGGCTCCTGGTAGAAAAAATTACTTCGTTCCCCATAATATACGCAAAAACACATGCTCTGCTTTGTGATGGGAATAATCTCGTTCTTAGTAATAAAAAAATGTTAATACAAGAAAAAAGTAGTGAATATTTTAATATTTTTGTTTTTATATTACTTTAAATTAGATTCTTTTATCTTAGGCCAAGCAATGAAGGAAGTTTACCTCAACATAATTAGAAGTTAACATTTGTTGGGGGGGATCCGTTCATTTTCATGTGCTTAATAACATATTAAGTTTGCGACCTTGTACTTCCATAGGGTTTTTAGTTAGGGGTGGTTTTTAGGGGTAATTTGCGGTTATGGAGAACGCTGCTCAAAGGGATGGTCAACTAGCAAAAAGTTTCAAATGAATGTTGTAGCTGAAGTTTTTTGCTATAAAAAACTCAGCGACAGCACCCCTTTATCTTCTATAGTTTTTTTTCTGCAGCGTCTTGAATAGTAGCATGTTTTTGTTCAAGGTTACTGAATCAACGTTTTGTCATTTTGCGCGCATTTGTTGCAGCAGCGGCCGAATGCATAATCCGATTTCAATTTTTCAATCACCACATTATTGCTAATGAAATGCACTTTCCAATGTTTTTTTGTTCGAATTTTTTGCTTGAAAATTAAGCGAGCACGGACTTGTCTAATGTGCGAGGAAGTTGTAAATTGCATCGAAAACTACCCCTCTCTTGCATTCACTGTAATTTCTAAACGGGGCCAAATATTTGGTGACAGTTTTCGACAATCGGCAGCCCATTTATTCCTCTCATAATGCCCCAGCGGTTTTTTTTTTTCGTAAATTACAATGACTTATTGGCCTGAAAACGTCGCGCGGGATTTTTCAAAAAGTAAAAAAAAATTAAAATTGTCGCATGGCGCTGAAATTTGGTACGATGGCTTTATTTATTGTTCTCATGAATATACTGCAATTTTATATCATGTGAAGCAATTAAACCGTCTTTTCAGATCCCCGTTTCTTGTACTATCTGGGAACAATTGTTTATTGTTTAATAATAAAATGGAATGTTCTTGAACATCTTTGCGCAAACGGCAAACGCTCACGGCATTCGCGGCCGGCGGCTCGTCTTGCTACGGATGTGTTCGGCTTAACCACTTTACTCTTTTCACTCTGTGATCACGTGATTATGAAACTGCTCTTTATCCGCTCCAACTCCGTTTTGCCAAGCCGAACTCACCTACTGTATTCCTTTTAGAGCCGTTTTACACGGCAAAGTTTCTTCACGAAATTATTCACGAAATTATTGCCGAAATATTTTGTAAGTTTACTATTCTTGGGGTGAGTTCGGCTTGGCAAAACGGAGTTGGAGCGGATAAAGAGCAGTTTCATAGTCACGTGATCACAGAGTGAAAAGAGTAAAGTGGTTAAGCCGAACGCATCCGGAGTAAGACGAGCCGCCGGCCGCGAATGCCGTGAGCGTTTGCGCAAAGATGTTAAAGAACATTCCATTTTATTATTAAACAATAAACAATTGTTCCCAGATAAAAGAATTTGAAGTAATATAAAAACAAAAATATTCACTACTTTTTTCTTGTATAGCATTTTTTTATTACTAAGAACGAGATTATTCCCATCACACACCAGAACAGTTTATGCGGATATTATGGGAAACGAAGTCATTCTTTCTACCAGGAGCCCCAGGAGACAACCAAGCCCTAAGCAGAAAATATCTTCTTTGAACTCTTTAGGTTATTATCGTTAGGATAGTGAATTATCGAAAGCTTAAATTTTACCGCCCTTTGGAAATATGGGAAGTGCGCATGCCCGCTCCTCGAGCTTCATCTCTCGAGGTGGTGCTTGTGGAGTTAACTCTTTTCACTCTACTTGGCTGTACCCGAACGATAAGGAGCTTGCACTATTTGCTCCTAGTGGCGTGACCCGAACGACTTTAGGTGGGTTCGGGATGACTGTTCTATAAACTCCAAGTGCACTAAACACTCCCGATGCGTTCGGGTATGGTCATTTTATGCTAAAAGAGTAACTCCATTTGCGTTCGGCTAGGACGCGTGGGAGTCAAAAGAGCTGACTCCGAAAGCACCACCTTTTCAATAGCAAGCGCCAGAGCGGGCATGCGCAGTGTTTTTGTTTTCGTGATATCTAACCCCAAACCGGCCAAAGGAAACCCCATTTTTCATTTTTTTATATACGTTTTTCGACTACACTTGTCTAGTTTGGATGTTTTGAAATTTCGAACTATTTGAACCAGAAGCGCTTATTTTTGTAATTAGCCAGGCTATTGGAAAGTTTTTTAAACGCATCGGCAGTAGCAAGAATGGCCATGGACATATCTGAAAAAACCTATGTGGTTGTAGTTGACGAAGAAGGAAGACCAATAATTACAGCAGAAAACAATATTTTACTCTGTGATAAGGCTAGTAAGTACTATCAAGTATTATCTATTCAACCATAATTAGGTAAATTTAAATATTAAGTTTTAATAATATTTGGCTTCATTGACAACTAGGTCACTTATAGAATTTCTATACCTAATTTCAAATATGTAGGTACATTCAATTCCATTTATGTTTTTGTTATTCAATGCATTTTGAATGTAATTGAATGTTATTGGAAAGGAAAGTGTACCTGGAGGGCCTACCCCTCAAGCTTCATCTTCATAAAAACGTTACGATTAAAGTTTGTACCTACCTACCTAAGTAAAGTTGAAAGAATAAAAGCACTGAGCACTGGTGCTGTTGCTACTATTTTACTACTTTTACTTCCATTTAATTAATAAGGTAATTTCTCTGTTTTGTTATCTATGCTTTTACAATATTTGAGACAATAATATTCAAAGCTTTTGATTTCAATAATAATCCTCCTTATTTTTAGCCCAGGGACTTTCATCAATACCATTTACCGTAAACATAGCAAATGAATTTGGAATTGCCTATCCACTGCAAAAGCCATGTGAACAGCAAGAAAACGAACCTTCAACTTCAAGTGCTGCTGAAACCCCAATCACTGAAACCAATGAAGAAAATTCCAAGATTTGGAACACAGAAAATACATTATATCTGATCGACACGGTTCAAAAATTTGACAAGCAATTTTCATCTGGAGTCAAAAAAAATGTTTGGCTCAAAGTAGCAGAATGCTGTAAGCATCTGCACAAAACTTTAAATGCAAAACATTGTGAGACAAAGTGGAAATCCCTAATCCGCACTTATAAAAATATTTTATTGAGCAATAATACCTCTGGACAAAAAAAGAGGTATTGGGAGTTCTTTGATGTAATGCATGCTATAATGTTCAAGAAACCTGAAATTACACCTGTTGCTACCTGTAGTAGCTTACGTGGACTACGTGTTCCCGATCCTGAAGGTAAGAATATTTACGAAAAGACCTATTCCTCGTGATTCTTCAACTCTTTTAACCATTACATGCACATAATGTTTATTTTTGCTTTTTAGAGAAAAGCAAACAAAATGAAAGTAAAAACCAAATTAATGTAGAGGAAAACAACGAAATTGACAACAGCAAAAGTGAAATTGATGAGGAAAGTGGAAAAGAGAATTTTGAAAGCGAATTTTCAAAGAAACGAAAGCGAAAAAATTCAGAAGTTGAAAAAAGACACAGAGACAAGATGCAGAGATTGGATAGATTTAATGAATTATTTGAAAAAATGATCGATAAGCTCCCTGAAAAATAATATTCAAATGCGAACTTCCATTGCATTTTTTTTTCACCAGTCAAAGTAGTTGCACCACTTTGGGAATCTTTCATCCTTTCAATTTGACAATGGGAGTCTAATCTGTAGTTTGAGTATATCCTATCCAAAATCCGAAGTCCAAAGGTATAGGTAAATTTATCACCTTTCCCTATCAAATAGCACTGGAAGGTGATACATTTTAGCTTTACCTTTGGGCATCAGATTTTGAATAGATATGTTGGATTTTGTAGCAAATGTATGTGAATATAGTCTTAAGGAGAGTTTATTTTGAGTTAGTTTGTTATAAACTTGTTTTTATGAAATGTAGGTAGAGGGTGGGATGTAATAGAGGCTTTTTTTGAGTTTAAACATTGTTAAGTTTATTTATTAATATTATTGGCTAACTTGAACATTATTGCTGCAAAACCTCAGGTTTATTTCAAATAAATTAAATAAATAACAATTATTTTTTTATTTAATAAAATATACAAGACTGGTTAGAAGAGTATAGATATACAGAGTGGCAAAAAAGTAATGCATACAACCTGTAGCTTTTAAGGACCTCTTTTCATATAAAGATAATAAAAAAGTTACAGGTATTATGCGTTACTTTTTTGCCAGTCTGTATAGCAAAATGTTTGTGAAAGTAGTGTCCATAAGCTAGAAAAATGAAAAAAAAAAATGAAACTACATCTAGGTTTAAATATTTAGAAGGATAAAGGAAATGTTATGTTTTGGAAATTATATTTACAGTTTATCTTCGTATAATTATTGGTAAACTATTTACAATATTATTGCGCTTGATTATGGCCTGATTGGGGATATTCTCTATATCAATTTCAATTGCATTCTCTGGATTATTGAGAAACTCTTCTCTCCTAACTTCATCCAAATAAATAATATCCTCGAATGAATCGCCATTTAAAATACAAATATTGTGCAGTATGCAGCAACTCATTATATTTAAACATGATAAGTCCATCCGGACAGTTTCCAGAAATTTTAATTTTCGAAAACGTCCTTTCAGTAACGCAAGTGCATTTTCTATTTTAACCCTTATCTTACTTAAAACTACATTGAAGTTTTTTTGTCTTAAGGTTAAATGCCCATTATCCTTAAATCCAACAAGTAAGTTAAAGTCTAATTTATAGGCTAGGTCTCCTACTAAATGGGTATCGTTAAAAAATTGTAACTCCTGCCTTTGTATAGCCGAATAAAGGTCTGATTTCCTGAACAAAGTGTAATCATGGAGCGAGCCAGGTTCCCCTATATATACATCTTCAAACAATAGTTTGTGGTCACAGATTCCTTGTAATAACAAGGAATGGAAACCTTTTCGATTTACATAAGAATTAGAATTTTCTTTTGGAGCTGTAATCCTAATGTGGGATCCATCAATACAGCCAATTATCCCTAGAATAAAAATTCATATTATATATTAAATTTTTGAATAATACTAACCAAGTTGGAAATTCCTTTAATTTTGTTGGGGAAGCAATAAAAATTATTCATTCAAAATTCCATTCATATACTTAAGTTAAAATAGTTATATCTGACTTTTATTGCACTTACCATTAAAACCATTTTGACTCAGGCCATTAGAAATCTCTGCCTGTCTTTGCCTATTTGGCCAACTGATAATTTTGAACTGGTCATTCACTCTAAGCAATAATTTACCAGTACGGGTAACAATTTCCCGGCAAGTTGATTTTGTCACTCCAAAACGGTTTGCGACAGACCTAAAAGTAATAGGGATAGGTGAAGAAATTAACTTAATGGTAGTTTTTTGTGCTATCCCTGCACTGCGACTCATCTTTGTATTGCTGGACACAATAATATACCAACGAGTCACAGTGGAGGGGTATATTCCGAGATTTATTTCCTACCCCACCTAAAGCTCTCAATATTTCCCAAATACCATATGGTAATCATAACATCCTTTTCTAGAGGGGTTTTACATCTGCGATATGTTCTTACACCCTCATTTGCATTGTGGATTTTTCTTAAAAGATCTTCAAACGTATCAGGACACATTCTAAAATGTATTTTGAACTGCTGATCGGACATGCGAGGAACAGTTATTTCGCAAAAATTTTCAATCTTAATAACTTCATTATCTTCTTCCTCAGATGAATCTCCGTATAAATACACTTCCCTAACAAAATTGAATATGGGCAACAAACAAGCAAAGTTCATTAATTGCAGTTGATTGAATAACACACAAACAGTATTCACGAATCACAAAACAAATAGGAAACTTAGAAAAGTAATGAAACGTATTGTGGTTGCTGAATGTTAGGTTAGGTTAGGTTAAGAAGCTCGAAGTGCGCCCTGACCGTTCGGAGTCATCATTCTACTCTAAAAGCACTTTGGTCACGTGACAAAAACGCCACTCCAACTATACTCCAGCTCTGCTCGGCCATCCCGAACCCAGCTTTTGCAGTGAAAAGGGTCAAAGGAGTCAAAAGAGCTGCCAAGCCGAACTCATGTATATTGTATCAAATTAGACATTAGGCGATTTTCAGCCTGGACTGGAATGATTATTATTTGGTTATAACCAATGCATTTCCGCCGTCGCGGTTTTAACCAAAGTAGGGGAAGTTGTGACGTCACATATCAGCTGATTTGCTTTTGGTATTTACCATTTATAACCGATTATAACCCAGCTTTGGACTTGAGTTAATCTTTTGGTTACAGCTTTTTGATGTTATTGTTATTATTTTTGGAATTTGTATTGGTGTTTTGTGATTTTGCAGTTGCGTTGTAGCCTGGCATAATAAAAGAAGTATACATTATTCACTCACTCACTGCAATTCACCATGTTTAGATCGAGGTTTAGATCATCCCCAAAGAAAATCTGTTCGATAAACGAGACTGACGAGAGATTCAGCTCCATTTTTTGTACCTGAACAAAAACCTGTTGCTGAAACGAAAAAAACAAATAAGAATAATAAACATATTTCTACACTGCTATAACCAAATCATTTCAGCCATTAGTTCCGGGTTATGATTCTTGAATGGTGGGGGGCTATGACGTCACACTTGGCTGTCAAAGTTGTCAACCAAAAGAATAACCACGGTATTTACCGATAAATAATCATTCCAGGCTGAAAATCGCCTATTATCTGGAGTTTAATTAACTTTATTTACGACTGACATATAATGTCAGTTTTATATTTGTGATTTTGGCAGTATAATGCCATATATATTATTCCCGCAGGGATTAATGGTCATTATTCCCGCTTGCACACCAATCACAAAATTTCTCAAATTAAATAAGTAGTACTACCATGGAAACAATATACCTGAACAAACTCAAAAGTGTCAGTGTCAAACGCGTAGTACTTGTGTATTTGTATTGAGATGGATGAACAAAGAGCGTTTTTAGAAAGAAAATTTCAAATAAATTAATTTGTCGTAAATAAAGTAGAGTATACTACTCGCAATAATGGTTTTTATTCCCTCGGAATGTTACTCCCTCGCCGCTAATGCGGCTCAGTTCGTAAATAATCCTCGGGAATAATAGCTATCATTATTGACTCGTGGTATAATCTACTATTATTTATGACTAATGTATAATGTGCGTATTATATTTGTGATTTTGGCAGTATATAATGACATATGTTATTCCTCCAGGGATTAATGACGAGTAGCGGGATTAATGGTCATTTTTCCACAAAAGTGTCAGTGTCAAACGTGTAGTGCTTGTGGATTTGTATTGAAAATTATGAGACGGATGAAATTTGTTCATTGAAAATCTCAAATAAATTAATTTGTCGTAAATAAAGTAGAGTATACTACTCGCAATAATGGCTATTATTCCCTCGGAATGTTACTCCCTCGCCGCTAACGCGGCTCAGTTCGTAATAATCCTCGGGAATAATAGCTATCATTATTGACTCGTGGTATAACCCAGCAAACACGGAAATTCAGCCGCTGCGCAAAAACTGTGATACTGTGCTGTACTTGTTGTACAGCGATGTAGACGAAGCAGCCGCATCAGCCCGGACCATATGTCCCACCGGCCGGCATCTGGCGCTGCACTGTTCATGCTGCATTTGAGTACAGCCACTGTGCAGTAGCTCTGTCTCTTCATTAGGCAATTTTTACACAGCAATAACGCAGCGCTCTTGCAGACGTCGTACATATTTGTTTCGCAATAACTGTGCAGCCAATATACCGTTTAGGTATATTTACCTGTGGCACTCTAAATTTAATGGACATAATTTATTTTATATAGACAGGATATTTTTGAAAAATGACAAAACAAATTAAAGTATATAGAATATATTGAGGAGTGGAACATTAAACAATAATATTCCTTATTCGTTAACCATATTTTGGTGGCTTTTTCAGCTTCTGATTGAGACGCATTTTGACTGGCTCTATTTTTTCTTACATCGACTAAATAAGGACAAAATTGAGTTAAAATTTAAAAACCGTTTTACCTTGCATCAACTTACCTAAATTGCTTTATTGATGTTGATATTATAGGTATATTCTGAAAATTGTGCTTTTTGAAGGCGCCCTGTCCAGTTCAGCTGAGGAGTTGAATTTTTAGATAATAATCTGGCTAATATGTTCCTACATACTTCCTCAGTGTTTCTGCCCCCTAGTATTCCAAGACTATTTACCTGAAAGATTATTTCTCTTTTGTAAATCCATTTTTTAAATCACAAAAATAGAAAACGGAAAACGGGGGCAAATAGAAAAACGATAGAAAACTTAGGTTATGATAATACGGGGGCCTTTGTTTTTGTTTATTTGTATCAATTTTTTCACCTACCTTGTTTGCTCTTGTTGAAAATAATGCATCTTGTACACGTAGTAATTCAAATCACAGGTAAAAGACACGTGAAAAACATCACAAAAATTATAAATCAAAAACGCTGCCCTGCATCAGTGAAACAATACAATACAATAAAATAAAACAAAATGGCTACGCTCACAACTCTACGGCAAAAAATACTGTGCTCGCGCAAATTGGCACATTTCTTTACAGTAACTGCATTAACATTTTACAACAGTTGTTGCATCAATATGCGCATGGGAGATCGAAATAATCTATCGCTTTTCCAATACAAAATCTGCAAAGCCGCTGCATATCAAATACTGCACTTCTAAAATACAGTATTCCCAATACAAGTGCTGCGCAGCATCGATAAAACTATTTATGTGCTGTATTTGGGCTGTGTTCGTGATACAGCAACATTACAGCGCCGATAAGTTGTGTTTGTTGGGAATCTACTATTACAAAGCAAAAAACAAAAGCAAAAACAGAAACATAACCTTAAAGGCCTTCCAACTGTCAAAAATTGTATACTTTTAAGGGAGGATTTTCATGCATCCGTTTTTCTGACGAAATATGTCCGTTTAACATTCTATTCTGACATAATCGTATATAAATATGTCAAAATAGAAGACTTTTCGGACATATTTCGTCGGAAAAACGGATGCATGAAAATCCTCCCTAAAGTACTCATAACTGCGAAATTCGCATTTTTTTGACATTGCTTTGACAAATTGACGTTTGATACACGCATAAGACGTCAAATTGTCAACGCAATGACAAAAAAATGCGAATTTCGCAGTTATGAGTACTAGGCTTTAGGGTGGATTTTCATGCATCCGTTTGTCCGACGAACCTTTCGTTCGGTATTTTGCTCAAAGAGCAGAGCGTACTGAGCGGAGCCGTAATCACGTGACCAGCGAGCGAACAGAGCAGTTGAACGCTGTATTAGAGTGTCCGAAATTTTAATAAGCAAACGCGAATAAGCCTACACCGAGTACACTTTTTAAATAATCAAACGGTTAATTCAAGCTCGGAGAACTCAGATCAAAATACCGAACGCACGGGAAATATGTCCGAAAAATCTTCTATTTTGACATATTTTTATACGATTATGTCAGAATCGAATGTTAAACGGACATCTTTCGTCGGACAAACGGATGCATGAAAATCCACCCTTAAGGTGTTAAGTTATGAGTACTAGGCCGTGGTACTAGGCTTTAGGCCGGATTTTTATGCATCCGTTCTCCGACGAAATATGTCCGAAAAATCTTCTATTTTGACATATTTTTATACGTTATATGTCAGAAAAGAATGTTTTTTGAACATCTTTCGTCGGACAAACGGATGCATGAAAATTCATCCTTACGCGTTGTCTACATATTTTACACGTGGTCTACATAGATTACATAGTTTACATTGTCTACGCGTTGTTTACACCAGACGTAGACAATCTTTTTTTTACGCGTAGATGCCCATCTCTGGTTCAAACTGATCCGATCCGAAAGAATAGTTGTATTCCTTTCAAGAGTTTAAAACACCAGAGCTACTCATCGCTCCGGTGTTAGTCGACCCCGATTTGGAAGGAATAGATGCGCTGGCTTTCATGCATTTAAATGTTTTAAGTCGGGCTTGAGCACTTTTCAAAAGGAATAAGCGCGTTACGCCCGGGAGCCGGAGCTATTCCGGCGCTCATCTTCCTAGGTGTGAAAGGAATTCAACTATAGCTGGGTTCGGGATGGCCGAGCAGAGCTGGAGTATAGTTGGAGTGGCGTTTTTGTCACGTGACCAAAGTGCTTTTAGAGTAGAATGATGACTCCGAACGGTCAGGGCGCACTTCGAGCTTCTTAACCTAACCTAACCTAACATTCAGCAACCACAATACGTTTCATTACTTTTCTAAGTTTCCTATTTGTTTTGTGATTCGTGAATACTGTTTGTGTGTAATTCAATCAACTGCAATTAATGAACTTTGCTTGTTTGTTGCCCATATTCAATTTTGTTAGGGAAGTGTATTTATACGGAGATTCATCTGAGGAAGAAGATAATGAAGTTATTAAGATTGAAAATTTTTGCGAAATAACTGTTCCTCGCATGTCCGATCAGCAGTTCAAAATACATTTTAGAATGTGTCCTGATACGTTTGAAGATCTTTTAAGAAAAATCCACAATGCAAATGAGGGTGTAAGAACATATCGCAGATGTAAAACCCCTCTAGAAAAGGATGTTATGATTACCATATGGTATTTGGGAAATATTGAGAGCTTTAGGTGGGGTAGGAAATAAATCTCGGAATATACCCCTCCACTGTGACTCGTTGGTATATTATTGTGTCCAGCAATACAAAGATGAGTCGCAGTGCAGGGATAGCACAAAAAACTACCATTAAGTTAATTTCTTCATCTATCCCTATTACTTTTAGGTCTGTCGCAAACCATTTTGGAGTGACAAAATCAACTTGCTGGGAAATTGTTACCCGTACTGGTAAATTATTGCTTAGAGTGAATGACCAGTTCAAAATTATCAGTTGGCCAAATAGGCAAAGACAGGCAGAGATTTCTAATGGCCTGAGTCAAAATGGTTTTAATGGTAAGTGCAATAAAAGTCAGATATAACTATTTTAACTTAAGTATATGAATGGAATTTTGAATGAATAATTTTTATTGCTTCCCCAACAAAATTAAAGGAATTTCCAACTTGGTTAGTATTATTCAAAAATTTAATATATAATATGAATTTTTATTCTAGGGATAATTGGCTGTATTGATGGATCCCACATTAGGATTACAGCTCCAAAAGAAAATTCTAATTCTTATGTAAATCGAAAAGGTTTCCATTCCTTGTTATTACAAGGAATCTGTGACCACAAACTATTGTTTGAAGATGTATATATAGGGGAACCTGGCTCGCTCCATGATTACACTTTGTTCAGGAAATCAGACCTTTATTCGGCTATACAAAGGCAGGAGTTACAATTTTTTAACGATACCCATTTAGTAGGAGACCTAGCCTATAAATTAGACTTTAACTTACTTGTTGGATTTAAGGATAATGGCTATTTAACCTTAAGACAAAAAAACTTCAATGTAGTTTTAAGTAAGATAAGGGTTAAAATAGAAAATGCACTCGCGTTACTGAAAGGACGTTTTTGAAAATTAAAATTTCTGGAAACTGTCCGGATGGACTTATCATGTTTAAATATAATGAGTTGCTGCATACTGCACAATATTTGTATTTTAAATGGCGATTCATTCGAGGATATTATTGATTTGGATGAAGTTAGGAGAGAAGAGGTTCTCAATAATCCAGAGAATGCAATTGAAATTGATATAGAGAATATCCCCAATCAGGCCATAATCAAGCGCAATAATATTGTAAATAGTTTACCAATAATTATACGAAGATAAACTGTAAATATAATTTCCAAAACATAACATTTCCTTTATCCTTCTAAATATTTAAACCTAGATGTAGTTTCATTTTTTTTTTTTTCATTTTTCTAGCTTATGGACACTACTTTCACAAACATTTTGCTATACAGACTGGCAAAAAAGTAACGCATAATACCTGTAACTTTTTTATTATCTTTATATGAAAAGAGGTCCTTAAAAGCTACAGGTTGTATGCATTACTTTTTTGCCACTCTGTATATCTATACTCTTCTAACCAGTCTTGTATATTTTATTAAATAAAAAAATAATTGTTATTTATTTAATTTATTTGAAATAAACCTGGGGTTTTGCAGCAATAATGTTCAAGTTAGCCAATAATATTAATAAATAAACTTAACAATGTTTAAACTCAAAAAAAGCCTGTATTACATCCCACCCTCTACCTACATTTCATAAAAACAAGTTTATAACAAACTAACTCAAAATAAACTCTCCTTAAGACTATATTCACATACATTTGCTACAAAATCCAACATATCTATTCAAAATCTGATGCCCAAAGGTAAAGCTAAAATGTATCACCTTCCAGTGCTATTTGATAGGGAAAGGTGATAAATTTACCTATACCTTTGGACTTCGGATTTTGGATAGGATATACTCAAACTACAGATTAGACTCCCATTGTCAAATTGAAAGGATGAAAGATTCCCAAAGTGGTGCAACTACTTTGACTGGTGAAAAAAAAATGCAATGGAAGTTCGCATTTGAATATTATTTTTCAGGGAGCTTATCGATCATTTTTTCAAATAATTCATTAAATCTATCCAATCTCTGCATCTTGTCTCTGTGTCTTTTTTCAACTTCTGAATTTTTTCGCTTTCGTTTCTTTGAAAATTCGCTTTCAAAATTCTCTTTTCCACTTTCCTCATCAATTTCACTTTTGCTGTTGTCAATTTCGTTGTTTTCCTCTACATTAATTTGGTTTTTACTTTCATTTTGTTTGCTTTTCTCTAAAAAGCAAAAATAAACATTATGTGCATGTAATGGTTAAAAGAGTTGAAGAATCACGAGGAATAGGTCTTTTCGTAAATATTCTTACCTTCAGGATCGGGAACACGTAGTCCACGTAAGCTACTACAGGTAGCAACAGGTGTAATTTCAGGTTTCTTGAACATTATAGCATGCATTACATCAAAGAACTCCCAATACCTCTTTTTTTGTCCAGAGGTATTATTGCTCAATAAAATATTTTTATAAGTGCGGATTAGGGATTTCCACTTTGTCTCACAATGTTTTGCATTTAAAGTTTTGTGCAGATGCTTACAGCATTCTGCTACTTTGAGCCAAACATTTTTTTTGACTCCAGATGAAAATTGCTTGTCAAATTTTTGAACCGTGTCGATCAGATATAATGTATTTTCTGTGTTCCAAATCTTGGAATTTTCTTCATTGGTTTCAGTGATTGGGGTTTCAGCAGCACTTGAAGTTGAAGGTTCGTTTTCTTGCTGTTCACATGGCTTTTGCAGTGGATAGGCAATTCCAAATTCATTTGCTATGTTTACGGTAAATGGTATTGATGAAAGTCCCTGGGCTAAAAATAAGGAGGATTATTATTGAAATCAAAAGCTTTGAATATTATTGTCTCAAATATTGTAAAAGCATAGATAACAAAACAGAGAAATTACCTTATTAATTTAAAGGAAGTAAAAGTAGTAAAATAGTAGCAACAGCACCAGTGCTCAGTGCTTTTATTCTTTCAACTTTACTTAGGTAGGTAGGTACAAACTTTAATCGTAACGTTTTTATGAAGATGAAGCTTGAGGGGTAGGCCCTCCAGGTACACTTTCCTTTCCAATAACATTCAATTACATTCAAAATGCATTGAATAACAAAAACATAAATGGAATTGAATGTACCTACATATTTGAAATTAGGTATAGAAATTCTATAAGTGACCTAGTTGTCAATGAAGCCAAATATTATTAAAACTTAATATTTAAATTTACCTAATTATGGTTGAATAGATAATACTTGATAGTACTTACTAGCCTTATCACAGAGTAAAATATTGTTTTCTGCTGTAATTATTGGTCTTCCTTCTTCGTCAACTACAACCACATAGGTTTGTTCAGATATGTCCATGGCCATTCTTGCTACTTCCGATGCGTTTAAAAAACTTTCCAATAGCCTGGCTAATTACAAAAATAAGCGCTTCTGGTTCAAATAGTTCGAAATTTCAAAACATCCAAACTAGACAAGTGTAGTCGAAAAACGTATATAAAAAAATGGGGTTTCCTTTGGCCGGTTTGCATCTAAACATTCCGGTATAGGATTCAGCACCTAGGCATATTTCATTGGTCCGTTTGAATTCGGACCGCCAATTGATGCGGAGTGCCGAAATCGGTACTTGAATGTTAAACAGTGCTGAGTATCAGGTCCGAATGTTGCCTTGCGTTTGGCGCGGTTTTTATATTAAATCAGCTGTCCACCTCCTTCGTGTTCCTCTTAGCTACAATTTTGCGGCGGATGCGGTTTATTTTGCCGTTGCTTCATGTGCTTAAACATGCAAGATCAGTTTGCCTGGATCATTTAAACACTTTCAATGTGGTGAGCAAATTTACCGAGCCAAGATTTTGGAGGAAAACGATATAAAGCAATGGATAGAAGAGTATAGTGATATAACATACACGAATTGGAATGTGAAGTCAGCGAGAAATAATTATAACAGATTCAAATGCAGGTTTGTGTTCAATGTCAATTCAATGACGTAGAATCTTCTTGGATGCGAATAGACTTTGGAAAATACATTTTTAAGATATGTTTTTGTATGCCATCATAGTACTTATAAAAAAGTGGATCAAGGAAATATTAAGAAAGGAAAATCCAAAAACTGCTGTTGCCTGGCTTCAATTGATATTTTAATTAAACTAAGCACCACAGATACCAAAAGAAAAGATAAATATATTTTAGAGTATTTATTTTCAAAATTTTCCATTCTAAATTGCCAGGTTTCAGGTTTTTATAATCCCTCCACCCCCCTGAGTCCGCCACTACAAATTATTGTCCAAGATTTTTTGAAATGTATCGTTGAAATAAAATAAATGTGTAACAAAAAGTAAATAAAGTTTGTTTGTTGATTTTGTGCCGCGCTAACGGAGTAACATTCCAACCTGCAGCTGGGCACTGTTCAACATTTTGACCTTTGATTCGGCACTCCACATAGTATATGTATATACCATTCCGACCTGAGGCTCAGCACCGTTCAACATTCAAGTACGGATTTCGGCACTCCGCATTAATTGGCGGTCCGAATTCAAACGGACCAATGAAATATGCCTAGGTGCCGAATCCTATACCGGAATGTTTAGATGCGGCCGGTTTGGGGTTAGATATCACGAAAACAAAAACACTGCGCATGCCCGCTCTGGCGCTTGCTATTGAAAAGGTGGTGCTTTCGGAGTCAGCTCTTTTGACTCCCACGCGTCCTAGCCGAACGCAAATGGAGTTACTCTTTTAGCATAAAATGACCATACCCGAACGCATCGGGAGTGTTTAGTGCACTTGGAGTTTATAGAACAGTCATCCCGAACCCACCTTATTACGGCTCTGATAACTGCTCTAAAGAATACTCTGACACAAACAAACAGAGTTTTTTTTAAATTTTATTAGACTATCCAAGATGCTGTCAAACTTGAATTAAAATGGCCGCTAAGAGGCATCACACAAACCTTTTGTTTATGTGTCATCAAATAATGTATGAGCTTAAAATAGGGCTCAATTGACCTTTTGTTTGGACGCCATATTGCGGTGCGCGAACATATGTTGCCAAAAGTAGAAAAAAAAATTACTAGCGTACTGTCAACATTAAAAACAAAAGTTACTGAATAAATTACATTTAAAATTTGAATTTGCCGCCTATTACGAATGTTTTTGAAAAAAAAAGCCATCAATTTTAGCTTGTATTGAGCAGAATAAAAATAATATAAATAAAGTTTAAAAAAACTAAAAAACACGCTTTTATAGTAAATTGAACTAAAAAGTGAAAAATAATTTTTAATATAAACAGAAAATATTAATGAACAAAAAATATTAGAATTATTGTGAAAAAAACGTGGGGTGCTTTGTTCCACATTTCTCGTACATTGAGCACCACACGCTTTTTTCACAATAATTCTAATATTTTTTGTTCATTAATATTTTCTGTTTATATTAAAAATTATTTTTCACTTTTTAGTTCAATTTACTATAAAAGCGTGTTTTTTAGTTTTTTTAAACTATATTTATTTTTCACTTTTTAGTTCGATGTATTATTATTTTGTTGTTCAATTTTTTATTTTGAAAAAAAAACTTTAATTCTTATTTGTGTTTTGTTTATATTTGCACTATTTATCTTTATCAACGGCTAGTGCGTCGCACCGCACCGGTATCATACTCACACTGAGTGTGTCATTCCTGAATTCGCCCCAGAGATTTCCAGACTTTTGCAGACATTATCCAGACCTATTCAGAGCTTTCCAGAGTCTTCCAGACTTCATCCAGATTTATCCAGACTTGTACAGACTGATCCGGATTCTGGAAAATGATCCCTAAGTCTTTTGGGACCTTTTCCAGAATTTTTCCGACCCTTTCAAGAAGTTTCCAGGCCTTTTCCAGATGTTTCAAGAGATTTCCAGACTCTTCCAGACAATATCTAGACTTATCCAGAGTTTTACAGACTTCATCCAGATTTATCCAGCCCTTATCCAGACTTGTACAGACTGCTCCAAATTCTAGAAAATGATCCCCAGATCTTTTGGGACCTTTCCCAGAATTTTTCCGACCCTTTTAAGAAGTTTCCAGGCCTTTTCCATACGTTTCCAGACTTTTCCAGACGTTTCCAGACATTATCCAGAGCTTTCCAGAGTTTTCCAGACTTCATCCAGATTTATCCAGACTTTTTCAGACTGATCCGGATTCTAGAAAATGATCCCCAGGTCTATTGGGACCTTTTCCAGAATTTTTCCGACCCTTTCCAGAAATTTCCAAGTCTTTTCCAGACATTTCCAGAGATTTCGAGACTTTTACAGACAATATACAGATTTATTCAGACCTTATCCAGACTTGTACAGGCTGATCCGGATTCTGGAAAAAGATCCCCAGGTCTTTTGGGACCTTTGGGAGAATTTTTCCGACCCTTTCCAGAAATTTCCAGGCTCTTTCCAGAGATTTCCAGACATTTTCCAGACTTTTCCAGGCTTTATCCAGATTTATCCAGACTTGTTCCAGCTCACTTGGCTTGTTCCAGGTTCTTGTTCATACACTTCCCAAGGGTCCAAAAGTTCGCACGCATCCCTATGTGCCCGTGCGATAAACATTTTCAATGTTACTTGCAAACATACATACATACAAACATACATACATACATACATACATACATACATACATACAGGTGAAGCTAATATAAGCGTGTTAAAAAGATCTACCTATTCACTTCCATCAATCAGAGAGAGAAAATAAACAAAAAAAAAGGATAGTGATGATCAATCATTTAGTTACTTTCGTTTTTAATTTGACAGTTGACATAGTTGCCAAAAGAAGAAAACAAAAATTACTAGCGGGCTGTCAACATCAAAAACAAAAGTAACTAAATGATTGATCCTCGTTATCCTTTTTATTTGTTTACCTTCTCTCTCTGATTGATGAAAGTAAATAGGTAGATATTCTATTATTTCTATTCTGCCCGATACAAGCTAAAATTGATGGCTTTTCTTTTCAAAAACATTCGTAATACGCGTCAAATTTTAAATCTAATTTATTCAGTAACTTTTGTTTTTAATGTTGACAGTACGCTAGTAATTTTTTTTTTCTACTTTTGGCAACTATGTTCGCGCACCGCAATATGGCGTCCAAACAAAAGGTCAATTGTGAATTATTTGCGTTCTGATACTTAAAACTGTTATTTTCATTAATGTTAGAAATAGTAAATAGTTCTCAAAAACGCGAAAAACATGCCTACAACGTGTTGTAGCATTGAACGTGGAAGTCGTGGAGACCGGCACATTCTTAATTTTTTTCAAATTTGAAGTGAAAAAAACAATACAAATCAAAACACAACACTGTACGTTGAAGTTGAAATAAATATATATTTTCAAATCAAGGGTAGATCCTGCGTGTCCAAGTGAAATGCAGGTAGAGCAACCTTGCCCACACGATAAGGATTGCGTAATTGGGTAGAAACTGGCAAAAATTGGGACGCACTTTGTGTTTGTGTCAATGTTTGTGTGCCACTTGTCGGCCATATTTTGCTTGTCAAAGTCACGTGTTTTGGATAGTCTAATACGATTTGTGATGTTGAGGTTGAGATTATTATTAATTATTTAGGTGTTTATATTTCGATTATTCAATGGATTTCTGGATTTGATTTGTGGCAGAATGGGACAATTATGGATTTTTTTAATGGTTGACGATGTCGAAATCGAATTTTTTATCAAGTGATGAGGATAGTAGTAGTAGTGGAGAGGACTATGGCGACGGCGTTGGGTTACCAGCCTTTTTTATACAAAGGAATAATGGAGGGAACAGGGCAAGGATGATACACACTACTACTACAGCATAGCCTATCCTCATAACCATAAGGCCTGTGTGGAACAAATCCACCCTCACCGCGTCAAACTACCAAGGGTGCGTTCAAGTTCAAGGATGGCGATGCTAAGCCAAAATCCTACTTTTCCCCCTCCACCGGTAATGCCGAACCACGTATAGTTTGGCAAGTGGTAACTTGGTAGAGACGAAAGGGGGAAGAAAAGTGGGGCGTGACCTAAGAATATTCACTGACACCTCAACTGACACCGCCTGATGACAACCATGTCTTTGGGTTCAGTGGCACCGAAAACACCAAGGAAATAAACCGAAAAATTATTAGGAAAAAAATTCTTGAGTTTCACGAATAACCACGCCACTGGTGCTGTCGTTCAGGCTCTAACCAATAGAATCATGCCTCTGAATAATCACGCATCTCCGCTTCCTTCATTTCGTAGTGTTGCCGGATTTTTTCCTATTTCAAAATACTACACGGCCCATATTGCAAAAAAAAATATGTCACCAACTTGTTTATTATTGTTTCTGTCAAGTTTGGCATAGCAGCAAATTCTTTTTGAGTTCGCCGTTTGGCTAGCCAGACTATAGGTTGGAGCCGAACTCGAACGCAAAATGCCAATTTTGGCTTGGCTGTAGCCATTTTTGAACGCAGCCCAAGTGTGACGTAGCAGCATGTCATTTCTCGCCTTGACGTATGCTGTTTAAACTGACGTACGGCTTAAGCCGCTCTCCAGCTGACGCTTTTGAGCACGCAATCAAGCTTTTGGCAAAAGCCTTTTGCGCGCGCAAATGGTTCAAGGGCGTATTCGTTTTCCAGCCGTACTGCGCTTCGAGACTGGGGGCGGATTACGAACTCTCGATTCGAACCGAAACCGCCCTGCATGCATTTGCATGGAGTGCGTTCGAAATCCATGGCGGTTTCGGTTCGAATCGAGAGTTCGTAATCCGCCCCCAGGGGCCCAATTCTCGAATCACGATTTCCCAATGTCGAGTACGAGAATCGCATATCTCGATACCTTTTGGCATAATCCAATTCTCGAATGTCACCGTCGCCTTTTTTTGATCGACATAATTGACGTTTTCAATTAAAAGAGATGGACGATAAGTATGAAAACATTCATTTTCCCGCCAAAATTTGCTTGCTTGTCAATGTCAATGTGTATTGGGTGTTTAGCAATCCCCTCATTTTTATTTGAATCGGTGACTTCACCAATGAGAATGAGTTAGCTATCTTTGTTAAGTGAATGGAAAATGACAATGACCGACATAGAATGATGGATCCATCGGTAAAATTTGATAATAAAAACGCAGGGTTTGAAATTGGGAAGAAAATGTAGGAAAACTCACTGCTTCATTCGCAGAACTTCGCTATGGAGCCGGTGGTGGATTATTTTGGAAGCAAACAGCTTCTGCAAACTAAACTTGAACGTGGATTACTTTGTAGATTTGATGGGCTGTGGATTTCCTTTTCTTTTGCGAGTATCCTTTCCGGATTCTGATTTTGTGTATCCAAGTTTTGACAAATGTAGTATTTGATGGAAACTTATGGAAAAACACGTCCGCCGGTGAATAGGAATAAATAGGAATTAGATTTATGGATAGGCACACTACACACAATCACCATTGTTAAGAAAAAACCTTGAAAAACCCGAGAAAATAATAGTTTCTTTCAAAAGTCTTGCCTACAAACCACTGTCAACGGCTGTCAACCATTGTTGTCATACTCTTTTGGCGTCTGACAGTTTGATGCCAGAGAGAGAGGCTTTTAAATTGAAAAGGTCAATTACGAGTGGGTAAAACCACGCGAGATGGAATCACGAAGTGTCAATTTTATTTATTTTTGTCATAAAAATGGCTGATTACGAAGAAATCGAGTTTTGCGATTCAAGTAGAAAATAATAGATTTCCTAGGAGATTCTATGAGTACAGTAACCCGTTGAATTGTATGTCCGAGTGCCTTTTTGTGAAAAACTTTCGATCCGGGTTAAGCATAATTCCAGGGTAAACATAGCAACTGGACACGCTTACCCTAGAAATAAAACCAACTCGAAGGTGATTCGCCAATGAGAAAAAAAAAGGGATAATACTAGAGCTTCTTCAATTTCTATTGAAGCCAATGTAAGCATGTTCACTTTTTAAAGAACTTTGTATATTCCCTTTTTTTCCATTACTTTACCACAAATTGTAATCGTAATCGCACAAAATAGGACCTAGAACTTATATTTTTTCACCAAAAACTCCACTTTCATTTTAAAGATCAAAAATTATGCCACTTAGTTGTCAAAAACATGCCAGTACTATAAAATTAGATGTTGCCATGTTTAAACATTCGACAATTGTCGAATGCGTCATTCAAATTCGCATACCGACCGAGAATAGAGTTAAGGATTCGCGTTCGACATTCAGATGCGTGATTTGTCGATTGCGAGATTCTTAGTCGTAACTGGAGAATTGAGCCCCTGGGCCGAGATTCTAAAATCACGATTCGACACACGACTCGACAACGATACCGGCCTTGTCGTCTCGAAAGGTATAATTCCAATGAGATTTCTAACCTAGAATCGTCGGAAAAATCGTCTCGATGTCGAGTCGTATGTCGAATCGTGATTTTAGAATCCCCGGCCTGCTAACTTTCACGTTTCAAACACAGAACACTGTGCTGCACTGTGCTTGAAGCACACAGCTGGAAAGCGTAGTTATGGCCGGTATTATAAAACACTGAACCGCGATGGTTGAGTTTCAACCTTCGGTTGACTTCATGCAAATGCGATAAGCAATCCTTAGTAGTGTGTATCATCCTTGGGAACACGGAAACGTAAAATGTGGCGTTTCTGACATTTAATTCTCGGCTAGGCTGCCTCATCTACTCCTCCTCGAAAGAAAGTGCAGGTTGAACTTGAACTGAACAGTTTGGTACAAAGCAGGCTGTGCTGCTCCGAACAACATAACAAACAAACCTATAGACAGTACCAGCAAGTTGATCGGAACATGAGTAAACCGACCCTAATGAAGTTGTTGTGCATAATTTTAAATATTCCTTTCACACCTACGAGGAGCCCCGGAACAGCTCCGGGTCTTTACGCGCTTATTCCTTTCGGTAAGCTCTAGTGTTTTGAACTCTTGAAAGGAATACAACTTTGGTCGGTGACGTCGTCACTCGTCACGTCGTGTCGGTCGACTGACAAGAGCGATGGGATAAAAAAAATAAAAACAGCAAAACAGCTGATTCAACATAACAATGCAGTTGCATATTTGCATTTCAATTTCCCAATTTCCAATATTTCAGTTTTTACTTCAATTGAACTGACTTCGCGAGTTGAACAATAGTATTACTGTTTTCTGTTTTCTTTTGGTGTCTGTTTTGTTTACTTTATAATTGGTATGTAAGTGGTGAGTGCAACTCTTTTTCTTGTTGCTTCCTGACTGATTTTTGGTGGCTTATTGTTGGAAAGCTTTTAGAAATTCAAGAACGTCCCAACAACGAAATATATAAATAAATTTCACTTTTACACCAAAAAGTTTCCATGGAAAGCAGAAAGCTTTGTGTGTATCTGTGCTGGAAATATATAAATAACGTTACCAAAACATAATATGCCTTTGATCTAAAATCTAAAAATAGATCCAGGATACCAAAATTCACACACTCTTTTGTTGGTTCTTCATTCAGAAAACAATATTCAACATTGATTCAAGATGCATCTACCAGTAGAAATCTTGGAGCATATTTTATTGAGGTGTGATGGATGGACTTTGCTAAATGCAAGGAATGCAAGTGAAATATTGCAAGAATCTGTTAACCGTTTGGGAACGGTAAGTGAAGTAGTCTATTATTTACTGTAATATAGGATATACAGTAGAACTCCGGTTATTCGAGGTAATGTGGGGAGGGAACCCACCTTGGATAACTGAAAACTCAGATAAACCGAATCTATAGGGTGTTTCAAATTCAAGCCACATTATTGGGATCTCAGAAACAATAGAGAGTTTTCGTTGTATTGCCAATTTCGAACGGTTAACCATAACGAATACGAAGACAAAGTCGCTATTTGACAGATCGTCAAAATAGTTTTCGTTCAATCCGCTTAACGTTAACGTTAAGTCGAATTCGACAAACATAACCTTTCTTTAATTGTTTGTATTTATATACGTTTTGTACTTTGTTTTAATTTCCTAGTACCCAAAATTCATTAATTTTCCCTGTGTGCTTTACAAAATTGGCTACTACAAAAGCATAATTATAGATGTATCGTCATATGGGTTGTTGGCCAATACTTCTTCTATTAAAATAATAAATGATAAAGAGAAGTTTGTGTCCTATCGGTATCCAATGAAGGGGGTGATTCGTCGGTTAGGACAAAAAATAAAAGGCCTGTTAAGTATTTGCCAACGTTACGCCCAAATGTTTAGGGCTTCATCAGGGCTTGTACTTAAAGAATTATGTGGCCAGAATTATAAAAAATAGTGCGAGATTTTCGGGATGGATCACTCGATTGCACATGAAATAATAAATAATATTGTCCTCATCCGTGAAACGATTTCTCGATCTTTTGAGGGAATTTAGTATTGAATCTATTTCGAAAACCAAAAACATTTAAAAACAAAAACAAACAAAAACATAGGAAATACGCATGCTTTCCGTTTTCGCTATGGTTTTGTCTTCCGTCCGTAAGCTCCCGGCACTTATCGGTAACGATAACGATAAATGATAGCTCAAATGTCAAATTTGTCAAATAGCGGCTATCGGAATCGTTTTTAAAAGACAACGAAAACTCTCTAGTGAGAGATACAGGGTTGGTTAAATTCGGGTAAAGTTGCATAATTTGATGCTCAACAAAATACCGCTTTGATATTCCGAATACTTCCGGAGATATCCGTAAAAACCGAAATTTTGCAAAATTGTTTTTATTTTTTGCTTACTTTATTTGAAGTGATATTTCAAAAAAATATATCACTTCATCATACCCCTTTTTCTCTTGGGAGGTAGTACAATTACCGAGACAATTTCTTTTAAATTTTCAATGAATTCAAACATTAAAATGGTATGTAGTAAGTTAAGGGAAGTAACATTTCATGTATAAAGGAGGCTAGGTTGTAGCATGGCATGTTTATACAGCTGACGATGGGCCTTAAACTAAAAGTCTGTTTGTGAGTTTCTCTCAACCTATAGATTTTTAGTGGCACTGAGTTGTGAATTTTCAATTTCTTTTATTGTCTTTCACTTATATGTTCATTTTCTTTTAGTATTTTGACAAAGTCGTTGGCCTTATCTTGGTATTTTCTTTTTGGATCCCTGCTAGTATTTTGGTAGACTTCAGTGTCGCTTAACATTTCAAGTAACTTGTCTTCGTATGCATCCTTTTCCATGATAACAGTCGCATTTATCTTGTCAGATCTTCCCACCATAAGGTCACCATTGTTTTTTAAAGGTTCGTTCCAACCCCCCGTTTTCGTATCGTCATGAAACGGTTTCGGAACTGTTAGGATCGATTGCAGGCGCATGCGTTGACCTTGCACGGTTTTATCTTGGTACAGAAACAACGGGTAGTTGGAACGGTTTTATGATCGTTTCCGTAATGACGACAGTTCAAATAACTTTAACCCTTAATTTGTTTGTTTGCAAATTAAAATAGAAGAATATAGGATTAGGATTACAAATTAATATATTTATTTATTTATTTATTTATTTACGGGCAAGACCCATTAAAAAAAAACAACAAGAAACATTAAGTACCTTACAACTAAATAAACATAGGCCAGTAATACTTGGCGTAGTAACAGGATAAAAATACATATAAATTATTAACAGTAAAACATTAAATCAGTTATAGGTATAAGAAAATAGAGGACAAACATAAATAATGACTGATCAAGATGACTAGAAATTCTTAGCTATCGAACTTGGCATCACAAACAAACAAGGAGAATTACATTAGAGAGTTAAGCTCTCTTTTAAAGCTATTTATGGGTCCAAAAAAATCCAGGCTACCATGGGTGTTACCTAATCGAGAAGTTCTGGAGATGAATGTATTGAAACCATAGTTTGTACGGTGATTTCTTTCTGAGAAGGTTATGGCAGAGCGGGTGTCCCTTGCTGGGACGTGAAGCCCTATTCTGGACAGTAGGTATGCGGAATCACTAATGGAGTTCAGTACCTTGTAAAAAGTATATAAATCTCTTTGATTGCGTCTAGCTGCCAAGGGTTGTAGATTGAAGCGTCTGTATAGGTCGTCATAGTCATACACATAGTTCTCAGGCGAAGGAATACCTGCCTTGAAGGCTAAATAACGTACGAATTTGCGCTGCACTAGCTCTAGGGCTCTGATATGATTAGAATACATTGGTGACCAGACAGAGGAGCAGTACTCCATCAGGGGCCTCACCATTGAGCAATAAAGGTATCTGATAGAATCTATGCTTGTAAAATCTCTCGAACACCTCTTAATGAAGCCTACAAGTTTTAACGACCTTGTTGTGATGTCTGAAATATGGGTGATAAAATTGAGACTGCTGTCAAAAATGACACCAAGATCTCGTTGTTGTGAGACAGTTTCAAGCGGAATGTTGTTTATATGGTACGCGAATTGTGGAGGGCTACGACCCTTGGAGAAAACAATGGCTTTGCATTTGGAAGCATTGAGCTCCATGCCGCTCAAAGCGCACCACTCAGAGAGTCTGTCGAGGTCAGATTGTAGTCTGGCACAGTCTTCAATAGAAGAGACCCGGGTGAACACCTTTAAATCATCCGCAAAGCACAGGAACTCACTGTTAATAAAACAAGACTTGATATCGTTAATAAAAACGTTGAACAGCAGAGGTCCCAAGTGAGAACCCTGTGGAACGCCCGATGGGATGTCAATTTCGTGTGAGAAGAAGTTGTTAACTTTGATTATTTGAGTTCTCTCCCCAAGATAGTCGCTAATCCACTTCAACAACATAAAAAAGGAAAATCGAACACCAACGCTGATTCATTATCAAGAATCTGAAACTGAATCCATGCAAGCTGATAACATCAAGGATTAGCGATAAATAGCTGATAATAAATTTTGTACTTTTTTTCACTTGAAAAAATAAAAATGCTACAGTTTTATAAGTTAGATTGGAAATTGGTTGTTTAACAACAACATGAACAACAAAAACAGGTGACAAAAATTGAATTACGCATGTCAGTCATGGATCAGTCCACGCGGTTCTTGCTTTCCACTCGGGATCGAAATGACGGTGCTAAAACCAGTTCTCGAACGATCCCAGGTTTGGTTGGAACGCCAACGAAACTGTGCGGAACGATCATCTCTCGGTTGGAACGCGTTTAACCTATGGCGCATGACCGTGACCGTACATTGAACGGTTTTTGGCTGGGTTGGAACGAACCTTAAGAAAGACTTGGTGATTTTCAAGTCATTGTTGAGTTTCTTGAATGGCTTGGGGAACTGATAATTGTAAAAATTGGTCAAGACATTTGTGGTTTTAACTCTAGTTTCATTTCTCTTTTCTTCACTCATTGGTTGGTTGGTAATATAGTATCGAGTAGGTATAGTATTCTCAGTCTTTTATTATGGTCGGTATGGGAAGGGAATCTCTGACGGTAAGAGTGGTAAACCAAATTTGTCTTATTTTCGTAAATGTCCAATGTTTGTTCTTGTAACCAGCAATAAATACCAAACAATGGTAGTTGGTGGGCCTGTGCAATATTAACCAATAGTGCCTTTTAGTATAAGTAATATCGTCTGGAATTTATCAGTGATTGGTAGAGGTGGGCCAATCTGCGATTTTAATGGAACTGTGACAAGACGTGACTGCTCCAGTCGTGTCACTGTGACAAATAGCAGTGATTTTTTGGAGCAGTTTTACCTTGGTTGACGGCCGTACTGCTAATATTATGGTAATGCTACGTCGCAACATGGCATAATCACAGTCATCAGTCACGGCCGAGAAAGATGTTCCAGTTTCTGGCCTGTCCTCTGCAGTAGCAGTTTCTATTTGGCGTGACTGCGATGCGATTTATAATATTATATTATTTCGTTCGCATCACTTAGCTCGAGTTTTGTCCGCGCTGCATCGGTCGGAGCTTGAAGCAGGCAGTGACAAAATGTCACTGCTACTTGACTGGGACTGGAGCAGGCCGTGACTGTGACAGACGAGTAGCAGTGACAAAGTTCGTGAAATCGCAACCCACCTCTAGTGATTGGTGGGACTTTTAAAAATAAAATAAATTTTTGTTGCTGCACAAAAAAAATGTTTCATGCTCATATGGTAGGTACCTAGCAGATACTTTCGGGCGGGACCAAGGCCAGACTAGTGGTTCCGTGGTTAACGTGGTAACAACACGTAACAAAACAAAAAACAAAAAATGAGAGTTCCAGCTTGCGTGTGTGAAAATGTTTGAAACTTCCTGGATTACACATGACCTAACCTGGTATACGCCAATATTGACCTAATAATTATCACACTTCATATGGAATATACACTGTGGGCCAAATTTATTTGGAACCCACTTTGGCTCTGAATAACTTTTTTTTTATTTGGAGGATTTTTGTGAAATTTTGTGTCAATATTAGGGGGGCCTTTCCTTAATTGACCATATTAGTTAGGTTAGGAAAAATCGGGCGCGAAATTTAAAATGGGTTCCTAAACACATTTCAACAAATTTGACAGCAATGTATTTCTTATGGGGGATTCAAAAGAGTGATTTTCAGATGGGAATATCTTGCGTTCTGGGCATTTCTTAGTATTTGAACCTATTATACGTCAAACTTTGAACATATTTCTCTATAATTCATGCTCTAATTGCTTTTTTAGACCTATGAATTAAA